CCACCGATGGTGGATAGAGATCTTCGGCAGCCACCACCGCCGCCGAAGGCAAGGTCCCCATCACCACAAGCGCGCTCAGTCTACGTGGACACACCAGAGCACAATATCATCATCATGGGGCACAATTCCATACCGACCGCGACGTCAAGCACGCGGTGGGCACATTCAAGGCCGTCATACAAGACGCTTCAGCGACGACGACATGTCCGCCTAAGTGGAGACCAACAGACAGCGCGCCCAGCTCATCAACGCGCTCATCAGAAACCAAACGGGCACCACCTTCAGCCAAGAGGGCATAACAAGGATCATCACGGATACCCAAACCGACCCACGGCCAACAGCCGCAAGCGCCGCGGCCGACACCCAGCTGACCACGGCGTCGGCAAGCAGTTCCACACGCCGCTACACCCCGACAAGGGTAGACGGAAGACCGACTGACCACCGCGACAGAGGCCCTGCACAAGGCTCGCCAACCGCGGCCATCTTCATCCGCTAGTCGACTTGCTACCATCGTCAAGGCGTTGCCTACCACTGGACCTCGGCACGAGGCACCGCCAATAGCATCCGCGCCGGTAGGCGCCGCCACCCACTCGCGACGCGCCCAAGGCAGCGGGGGCAACGGCTGGGCGGATGCCGGCCGACGACAGGAACCTGCGGAGTGGAGGATGCCACAAGCGCCCTATTTCAGCGCCTGGAGATCGCCGCCTAGACAGCGAACGCCAGGCGGGATAACATTACAACTGCGCTATAGAAGCCGCCGCCCACCGAGGCGAAAGCTCCAGCCGCGCCCCGCATGGAGAAGGTCTACGAACGAACTGCCTCGCCGACGGGCCCCCCGCGCAGGGCCGCGAGATCTGGGGGGGGCGCGACGCGAGCGACTGCAGGGCGCAATTGCCCGCCGGGGAAAAAAAAACGCCAGTGGCGCCCGCCGCGAACGCGGCGCCCACCTCGTCAAGATCCACGTCCGCGGAATGAGATCGGCTGCCATTCGAGGCAGTAGCGACCCAGAGACCACCCGCGCCATTGACCAGGGCCAGACGACGACGCGCGGCGCGAACGCGACGTGCTTTTGACGTAGACCGAAGCTTCTCTCATTGACCACCTCTGCCGCGGCGGACCCCCAGCAGACCGATTGCGCAGGATGGCTGACAACCAGATCACTCTCGCCCACTTCGTCAGCCACCAGCTCGCAACGACGGCAGCGCAAACCGCAACTGAGGGGGGCGACGACCTACGGAGACCGGCTGCGATTGATCAGCAGCGTCGCAGCCTCTTTATGTACATGAAGCCGGGGATTTGCCTCAATCCGAGCCATCCCCATTTGCGATCGCCTCCTCCCAGAGGGGGGTCGCCGACAGGGCCGCCAACCAACTCAGCGAGATGATTGAAGGCCAGGGGCGCGATCTTCACGGCGGCGAAGGACTTCGCAAACACGCGGGCGCAGCGGGGAACGGGGCCACCTGCAGCGAGCACCAGCGCCAGGTCACGCGAGCACCAGATCAGCATCACCAGGTGCCGCACATCGACAGTGCCATCAACGGGATGGAACGCCTCGTCGCGGACCTCAAAAATTGCGCAACGCAGCGCCCGCCCACGGAGACGCGCCCGCCGATTGCCCATCACTACGATCAAGCGCACCGAACAGCGTCACACCCATGGGGCGCCACCACACAGACGAAGCCCGCCCCCGCATCGCTGCCGCCCAGAGCGACGACCAGTCGGGACGCACGCCATGGCCGACGTTTGTCGAAGCGCGCCAGATCGACCAATCGACCAGACCAGCGGATCAGGGGCATCTCTTTTGATCGCCTACAACCGGCGAGGCATGGGCCGCTCGGCGGGGCCGGCCTGGCGGCGGCCTGCCAGCGCGTCGTCTTTACAAATTTTCAATGTTGCCATATCTTTGTCCGACATGCCGACGGCAGACTCGCCTGGCGAATATTTGCTCCAATCGTATTCTCTCGGTATAATCCTTTCTCCAGACAGGCGCGCTCGCGGGGCGCCCGGCAGCGACCGCTGGCCACCCGACCTGAAATGCCCGATTCCTACGGGCGCCTCCACAGCCGCAGCGCAGCAGGGATTCTGCAGCATGACAACCTCACGAGGCGGGCATCTCATCTGACGCGCCAATGCGAGTCCCCGATGGGGCTTTCTCACCCACGTTGTTCGATCAACGGCGGTCCATGCGCGCGCGCGGCCCTCCGCCGACCTCCACTCCCTGCCGGCCCCTCTTTCTCGCAATAGCCCCTCCCCCGCTGCCTCCGCCGCCCCCCCCGCCCCCCTCGCGAGGCGGCGGGGGGGGGGCGGGGCGGTCGCGCGGGCAGGGGCGGCAATGGCGCACCACTGCAGGCCTTTCGGGCGAGGGCCAGGGTGGCCGCGGCCACCGAAGATGGCCGCTGCGCAAAGGCCTCGCAGCCCTCCGGCATTGCCCCCCCCGCATAGCGACCTCGGCCATTGCGCGCGCGCCCCCCGCTTAATCTGCCCGCCCGCAGCTGCCCCCCCCACGCGCATCTCTCGCGGCGGCGGGGCGGGCGAGGCGTCGAACTGGCGGGGGCGGGGGCGGCGCGCCACCGCGGGCCCTGCTAGCGAGTGCCGGAGCTACCGCGGCCAACAGACACGGCCGCGCCGACGGGCAAGGCCTCCCCATGGCGCGGAGAGCTACTCGCCCAATGGGCGCCTGTCCCGCCCTCCCCGACACGGTCTCATCGCCGCGCTGCCCACTTCCCTCGCCCCGTAGGCCACGCATTCAGCGCCGGCTTGCAGCTGCCGGCAGCGGCGGGGGGGGAGTGACGGGGGCGCCACGGAGGGCTCAAAGCTCCCCCGCGCCCAGTGGAAGACCCCGCGCGGCAGTCGGCCTCGCGGTCTGGGCACTTTACTCCTGCCAGGTAGGCGAGGGCGCCAGTCGCGGGGCCGTTGGGCGCGCGCGGGGGGCCCCATGCATGGGGGGAGAGGCCTTTGCGCCCTCCCCCTCGGCGAGCGCGGCGCCGCTTTGCGCACCGCTTCAGCCGCGGAATCTGGGCCCCCCCTGGAGCTTATTCCTGGCCGGATATCCTGCGGACGGCATGTGAATCCGCTTCTATCTCACATGGGCACGGTGGTTCAGGGGGCGCCCCCCTCGCCGCGCAGGTCTGCCCCGATTGTCAAGCGCCCGCGGCGCAAGACCACTTCGCTCGCGCCGTGGGAGAAGCGGCGCAATCCGGCGCGATAGCTGGTGAAATCCCCAGAGACGAGTGCTGGATCGGCGCCCCCCCTCCCTCCCCCCTTGCAGTTTAGCTTCCAGTTCATCGGGCTGGAATGCACAAATTGGTCGAACCGCCTCGGCGCGTGGAGTTGTTATTGCGGCCCTGAGGGCCGCGTGCTGCCGGGCCTGGACTTCGGCTCGATGTCGTTTTCAGCTTAGGCGTTGTCTTTTTGGCTGTCGCGAGTGCCCCCGCGATCAGTGCCCCTCCCAGCGCTGCCCCCGCGTCGCGGGTCTCTCGATTTTGCGCCCACCCCCTTCTCCTCTCGGCCTTGCGCCCCATGCCCCTGCCCTCTGCTGCGCCGACGGTCGGGTTCCCGACGCCATGCGCGACGTTGCCGTATGCGCTCTTGTCGCCTGCTTCCATCGCGCCCACTCAGCTGCGTTTGCGGACCGCTCCGCCAGGGACGTCGGTCAAACGCATTTTTTACGGCGGGTTGCAGTGGGACGCAGCGCCGCCCCCCGACTCGGGCGCCCATTCAACGTGCCCGTAGTTTGGCGGGTTAGCCGGCTCGCCCATTCTTCTTTGGCGTTCCGGGGGTTGCTCGACATTTAGCCACGGCTGATCATGCCCTGCTTGCGCTCGCGCGCGTGGCCCCGACATGCTCGGGCGTTCCGCTCTGCCTTTGTTGGATGTTTTGTTGTGTTTCCTTCCGCGCGCGTTCTCTCGCGCCCCCCCTTCCCCCCCCTGCGTGACCTTTGCTGCGTCTGATGTCGTCGCCGATGCTGTTTGTTTTTGTGCCTTCCCTCTTGCGCGTCCTTCCTGCCACTAATTCGCTGCGCCTTCGCCGTTGTCGCCGTCGATGGTCGGTTTGTTTTCGCCGCGGCCCCCTGCTCGAGGACCCCGATTTGCTCGGGGGCGCGCTGGGTTGCGAAAGCCTGGGCGCGTTGACATCCGAGCTGACAGCCCTGGTTCTCGAGTCTGCCCCGCGCTGCGAGAGGGCGCTTCTCTGTCCGCGGCTCGCGCCGCCCGCCTTCCCTCTCGGACATGTGCATCACGGGGATGCTGCCGCCGCTTCCCCTCTTGGGGCGGTCGCCGAGTCTGTCTGGAGTGCCGCGGATGGAGCTCCGATCCCGTCGCCACTGTGCATTCAGCGGTCGTCACCTCTGTGGGCCATAACTGATGCGATTCGGTTCTGTCTGCACAAATCGGCACGTCTCTTCTTGTCAGCCTTCGCCCGTGCGCGAGGTCCTGACAAGTTCGAAGCGCTTCCGCCCGCGCTTGCCGCCGCCGTTCGGCGGTTCCCCGGCTCTCTCGGGCGGCTGGTTTCGTGCATGGCCCGATCGGGCTTGATCGTCTCCCCGTCCATCCTTCTCTCCGCGCTTTGCCTGCCGTTTCCCTGGTGCCCGCCCCTTAAGACGGCCCGGAACTGATTGCGCCCAGCGCCTGCGCTGTTAATCCCAGCCGCTGCGCATATGGTTACAGTTCGAATGACTGCATCGATTGTCACCCCGTTCATCGCCATCCGTCCGCTGGCGAAAAACATCGCCACTACCAGCCTCACCAGCATTCTCACGGTAATGACATCGTCCCTTCATCACCACCATATTATTCAACATCGCCACCATCATCATCGTCGTCAGCATCACCATCATCAGCAGCGTCGTCGTTCGCATGTTTCGCCATCGTCGTCCCCATCATCATCATCATCATCATCATCACCATCATCATCATCATCATTATAGTGCTGCCCGCGGTTATTTGTGGCTCTCTTTCGGGCCGCGCTTCCATTCTCAAGTCTCTCAGGTGTCTTGCCCAGTGATGCAAGACATCGCCCACCATGCGGCGGACGTCCTGAGGTACGGGGCGCAGGCGCTGGGGGCCACTGTCGTGGCGCGGGCCGCCGCGCCGAGCTGCGGAGCCTGCTCGCCGCACCTGGCCTGCCCCGCGCCTCCGACCCTCTCCTGCCCCGCCTGCGTCTGCGCTTGCGCGGGCGGGCACGTGGTCGAGCCCTCGTGTCTGGGCCTCGTCACGGCCTACTCGGTGGCCGCGCTGACCATCGGCCTCGCTTTCGGGGCCGTGGGAGGCGCCTGGGCGGCGCGGCGGCTTCTCGGACCGTCGGCCCGCCAGCCGCCCGCCGTGGTGGAGTTCGTGGACGGCATCGACATCGCCGCCCCCGCGGCTCAGCAGGTTCGTGACGCCAGAGCCCGCGCCCCGGCGCTGCAGTGATGGCGGGCAGCTTCCACGTGCTGCGCTACCGCGTCGGCGGCATACCCCTGTGGCACGAGCGCCTCTTGCTTGGCGTCAACGGGGGCCTCGGCTACATCCTCACGCCCGACTTCGACGACTACGACGAGCCCATCGCCGTCGGCCCCGACGTGCGAGCGGTCCTGCAGCTCGCGGGCCAAGGCGACACGCCGCCAGCGCTGGCGGGCGTCGCGGTGCACCGCTTCCGCCGCCTCCCGACGGCCTCGGAGCTGTGGGCGGCTGTCGCGCGCTCGGTGGCCGCAGGCTACCCGAGGCCCCCCGACCCTCTGCCGCTGGCGCTCGCGGCGGGCAACGTCGTGGGCGTCCCGCCTGGTCCCTTCCCGCTGGAGGACCCTGCGGCTGCCGCAGCCCTGCCGCCTGCGGCCCTGCCGCCACCTCCCGGCGGGGAAGGGGCGGCGCTGCCTGCGGGGGCCGCGGCCCCGCTGGCGATACCCCCCGCGGCCGCGGCCGCTGCGGCGGCCCCTCTCGGCGTCACCCCTGGCGTCGCTGCGCTGGCCGCCGCGCTGGGGGCCGCCCCGCCTGGGCCTGCTGGGGCTCTGCCGCTGGTGCCCGCCCCTGCACTGGAGGCTGCGCCCGCCGCCGCCGCCCCTGGGGCGCCTGCCCCCGTTGGCGACTTCAGGGTCCTCCCGAGGCTGCTCAGCCCGAGGGGCGAGCGCGAGAGGAGGTTCGGAGAGACCGTCAACGCCCTCTCGGAGACCCCCGTGCAGGGTTGGCCCGTGCAAGGGCCGAGGACCCTCCTCTGGTGTTTGTCCTTCATGTCGACGATGGCGGGCACGCCCACCGCGCGGCACCAGAGGTGGCTCACGTCGACGGCCCTGCCCGACGAGGACGAGCACGCCAAGCTGCACGAGACGCTCTGCCGCGTCCTGGACCTCGCCGTCGTGTACGATCAGCTGCAGATCGCCGAGATGACATCGTTCGAGATCATCGCTCGCCAACTTCAGCTCCTGGAGGAGCGGGTGCACGAGACGCGATCGCCACCTCCGAGTGGCGCAGCCCCCAAGGCCAAGGCCGCGGCCAGAGGCGGCGCCTCAGCTGGGACTTCCAGCTCACCTGAGACCAGCTACTTCCTCGGCGCAGGTGTCTCCAAGGCCAATCTCTGCATCTCGCCGAAGTTGCTGGAGTACATCGCAGACCAGATGAGGGCGGAGGCCGCCATCAGCAAAGAGCGCCGCAAGGCTCGCGAGGAGCGGGCCTTGCGGGCGCCACGGCGCCTGAGAACTTCAGGCCTGGCTGTGGGGCGCGCCACAGTGGCGCCAGCCAGGCTCATTGCCCCCTCGCTGCACCACCCCTTCGACAGCGAGACGTTTTCCCCCTCCGCCCTATTCCTGTGGAGCGAAGATCAGGCACTTCATCCATGGGCGGGTCGGCGCGCAGACGGGCCGCCAGGGGTGCTGCGTGGCGGGAGTGGTACAACGACGCGGTGTCCACGCTCGACGACATGTACCACTGCGACCCGAACGATGTGATCAGCCCGCCTCCTGGTCTTCCTCCGCGTGCTCGTAGTGACGCTGAGGAGTATCTTGCTCAACAGTATCGCGATTTTGAACTACCTCCTGGATATTCCGAATCTCCTCCAAGATGCGAGGCAGCCCTCGCAGAGTTGCTCGCATCGGCGCCTGGGTACTCTGGAGAGTCTCGGGTAAGACCCTACAACAAGGAGCTCGTCTCCTGGCCGAAGCACGTGGCGCCCGTCCCGACGGCTGACCTCGCGTCTGAAGCTGATCGTTCTATGTTGGCAGGGTGGAGGCTTCAAATGCTACGTGGCCCTGCTGATGCAGCTGCTCTCAGGAAGGACTCGGGTCTGGGGTCGCCCGATGTGGATCCACGCCTTCGGTTTCGCCCTCGGGAGTATGCTGATTTTCTGCTACGCCTGGACCAGGCTGGCATGCTTGAGTGGGAGGTCGCCGATCGCCAGGCTACCTACTCTACTGGCTTTTTCTTCGTCGAGAAGTCCAACGGCGTCAACCTGCGCCTCGTCTTCGACACGCGGGTGGCCAACATGTCCTTCTCTGCCCTCCCTCTACGAGATTGCCGACTCCGTCGGCATGGAGCGCACTCGAGGCCGACCGTGACTTCTACGTGGCCCAGGGCGACATTCAGTGCGCTTTTTACCACATGAAGTTACCGCCACATCTGCATCGATATTTTTCTTTGCCCGTCGTCCCGAATCGGCACCTGGGCTTCAAGCGGCTCAATGGCATGAATATCGGGACGAGCGTCTTCCTGCAGCCGTTCGTCTCCGTCATGCCGATGGGCTGGTCCTGGGCCCTCCACTTCTGCCAGTCCGCCCTGACCACGGCCATCCTCGACTCGGGTATCGACGAGAGCTCCTTGCTGGTGGGCGGCGCTGCCATCCCCCCGTCGCGGAAGGACTCCGACGTCATTGGCGCGGGCTACGTAGACAATTTTGCCACCGTGTCCCTCGACCCTGAGGTGGCCACGACAGCCTGCCAGGCCATACGTGACGTGCTCGTGTCGAGGGGTCTGCCCGTCGACGAGTTCGCTCCCGCCGCCAAGCGCGTGGTCTTCACTGGCTTGGACATTCTCGGCGACGTCGGCATCGTCCGCTGTAAGATCGACAGGCTCTGCCGGTTGCGTCAAGCCCTGCTTGGTCTACTTAGACGTGGCTTCGCATCGCCCTTGGCCTTGTCAGCAGTTGTGGGTCACTGTACGTGGGGTATGATCACCAATAGGCCCATGCTGTCGATCTTCAACGCAGTCTACCGCTTCATGAGCCTGGACGCCCGAGTGGCCGCGCCGCTGTGGCCGTCGGTCATCGCCGAGCTGCGTGCGGCAGCCGCCCTCATACCGCTATGGTGGGCCGACGTCAGAGCAGAGTGGTCGGCGACTACTTTCTGCAGCGACGCCTCCCCCTACGGCATCGGGGTCTGCCGCAAGACCGCCGACCAGGAGGTCGTCGCGGCCGCTGGGCGCTTGTCTGAGAGATGGCGCTATCGCTTCTCCGACGCCGTGCACGCCCGTGCCCACGCTCTCGGGATCGAGCCTCGCACTGTGCTTGAAGCTACCGTGGACAAAAATTGCCTCGAAGAACGCCGCCTCAGTCCGAGGCCTCCTAAGACCCCTGAGTGCCCTCCGTCTACGCCATCATCGTTACATCAACCAGCTGACGCTGCCTCCCTCGACGGCTTCGACGAAGTTCCCGACTCGATCACGGCTTTCGACGGCTGGGCCACGATACACAGTTCGTGTCACTCGAGGTTCGGCTTGGACATTATGCGATACGAGGCGGAGGCTCTCGGGTTTGCGATGCGACACTCGGCTCGGTCTGGACGGCTTCGTCATCATCGCATCTTGTTCACCGTTGACAATTTGGCTCTAGCTCTTGCTGCTGGCAAGGGCCGTTCTGGCGCCCGAGGCCTTCGCGACCCTCTACGCCGTCTATGCGCCCTGTCGGCGGCCACGGGCATCCGCCACGCCATTCGGTGGATCCCCAGCGAGAGCAATGCCGCTGACTCGCCGTCCAGGACGGGCTTCTTCGTCGGGCCGACCTTCGAGGAGCACCAAGCGAATGCCCCCCGAACTTCGACGGCAGCGGACCACGACTCTGGCGGAGCAAAGGACCAAGACCCATCCTGGGCCAGTGCTGCTCGCCCGAGGGGCCCTGTCGGTGCTGGAGACGGCCGCCGTGTCGGACACGACCATGGCCAACTACTGGGGCGCCGCCAAGAAGTTCGAGGAGTGGTGCCGCTGGACGTCCCAGACGTTCCACGGCAGGGGAGGTCGATGTCATCCTAGTTACCTATTTCGTGAACCTCCTTCTGGACGGCTTCGACAGTGCCACGGGCCGTGTACTCATGGCCGCTCTGAAGCACTACCTGCCCGCGATCCTCGCTGGCAGGACTCCGTGCCCACGGGCGGCTCGCGCCTTGACAGGCTGGCGGAAGCTCGTTCCCCCGCAGATGCGACCCCCTCTTCCTCGAGCGGCGATGGCGTCCATCGTGGGTGTCCTGATAGCGTGGAAGCTCTTCGGCATGGCTGTGTTCGTCAGGCTGATGCTTGACACATACCTGAGGCCCAGCGAGGCATACCGCCTCACGGCGGGGAGCGCGATACGACCTCGACCCGACGGCGTCCTGGGGCACGGCCACTGGGCCCTGATCGTCAACGACGCCTGCCTCGACCGCCCTGGCAAGACGGGCGAGATGGACGAGAGCGCGATCGTCGACAACCCGACCATCTGGCCGCTCCTGGAGGCCCTGGTTCACGACAAGGGCCCGACCGACGGCCTGTGGACCTTCGCCCCCGACGAGGTGCGGAGTATGTTCCGTCGAGCGGCAGTTGCCCTCGGTCTGGAGACCGAGTTGACTCTCGAACCCACGCTTCGTCATGGGGGTGCGTCCGACGACCTGCTGTCGCTCAGGCGCACGAGGAAGGAGGTCAAGGACCGCGGCCGCTGGAGGACGGACCAGAGCCTCCTCCGCTACGCGAAGCGGGCCCGCATGCAGCAGCGGTTCGCCAGCCTAGGCCAGAACGTCGTGGAGTTCGGCGAGCAGGTGGACAGGCAGATGAACGACCTCATCCTGCAGACCACGGCCTCGGGCGTCTTCCCACTGAAGGTGCCTCTGGCAGTGGCGCCGACGCCGCCTGTTGTCAGGCCGCAGCCCCCACAGATCACTGCACGGTGGGCCTTCGCCTGACGCGCCTGTGGCGCTCTGCCAGGCGGGCGTCTACGAGAAGCAGGCACTGCCCTGCGCTGGTGCTCGGCTGCGACGGCGGGGCGGCCCGCGCCCTGCAGCGGTTGGGCTTCGGCGCCGTGCACCTCGACTCGAGTCGCCACGCAGGTGGCGACATCACCGATCCCGCAGTGATACGGCGCGTCTTAGGCTGGATTCGTTCTAGCTGCCTCTCGCGCGCGTGGGTGGGGCCCGACACCGCTACCTGGCTTCGTCAGTCCCCTGCTGTGCGGTCTAAGCTGCATCCTCGCGGCCTCCCGTCTTTGACCAATTTTAAAGCTCGATCTGTTTGCATCGCCAACCTTTTTCAGGATCAGTACTTGCGCGTCCTGTCTGAATGCTGTGATAAGAAAGTGCCCGCCATTTTATGCCATCCCGACGCGTCTTTTATATGGGACGGCCGTGCGTGCACCACCCCTGTGGGCCAGTGTTCTTCTTCGACAGTTTTCGACTCATGCATGTACGCTGGCCGCAATCGACTTGCAAGCTGGAACGTCAAGAATGTTGATCGGCTATCCCTGACCTGTTCGCCTGTTGCCTCGCCGTGCCGTCGCACTCGCAAGCGACACCCCGGCGAGTTAGGCATCCCATCGTTAGACCGTCAGATGCGCAGCGCTGCGCGCCACCCACCTGCCTGTATCCGACGATTCGCATGTGAAATTATGGCCAACAGCGTCGATAGCCTGCGATACGTCTCCCGACTATCGAGATGTGTGCGAGTGTTCATTCAAGTGTTGCGGCTTTCAGCCAGTGTCTTGGACTAGCCATATTACCTGGTGCTGGCCCCTGCGGCATCAGATGTCGAGTCCTCGCCTGGCACCCTCTTGCACAAAAAGAATCGTCTGGCCACGGAGTCGTCCACATTATGCTGCCCGCGGCTATTTGTGGCTCTCTTTCGGGCCGCGCTTCCATTCTCAAGTCTCTCCCTCCCCCCCTTTTCTCCCAACTCAAGAATGTTTTCTTTGGCCTGGTGCTGGCCCCTGCGGCATCAGGTTTCGAGTCCTCGCCTCGCGCCCTCTTGCACAAAAAGAATCGTCTGGCCACGGAGTCGTCCACATCATCGTCATCATCAGCATCATCATCATCATCATCGTCGTCGTCGTCGTCATCTGCATCATCATCATCATCACCACAAACATTGTCATATTCCCGTTTCTTGGTTGGACGCTTAGGACACTGGTGGAGGGGGCCTGCCATCATCCCCCATCCCTTCTTCCTTCATATCGTTGCTTCTCTCTTCCCTCCGCGGCCTCTTGTTGTCACCCCGATTCAGACCTCCGACGTCATAATTTTCCGAGTGTTGGCGTCCCCCCCCCGGGACTCAACATTCAGCATTTGTATATGTTTTCGGGGGGGCATTTTTCGTGGCCATGCCTGGACGCAGCTCGAGAAGCTGGCCAGGATGGCATCTGGGAAGGGCCGAGGCCTCGACACGAGCGCGGGCGGCCTGGACCCGCGGCGGCCCGCCGAGGCGTTCGCGCCCGAGGTTTTTTTTGCCCCCGGATGGGTCGGGACCTCCAGGGGCCGCGCGTGGAACATGCAGTGGAGACCCATGCCAAGTAACACCCTGCTCCTCCTCCTCCTCCTCCTCCTCCTCCTCCTCCTCCTCCCCCCTCCTCCTCCTCCTCCTCCTCCTCCTCCTCCTCCTCCTCCTCCTCCTCCTCCTCCTCCTCCTCCTCCTCCTCCTCCTCCTCCTCCTCCTCCTCCTCCTCCTCCTCCTCCTCCTCCTCCTCCTCCTCCTCTTCCCATGCCAAGAAACACCCTTCTTGGGTTTCGATTGCTTCACGGTGGAAGGCGCGATGCTCCCGCACCAAGAAGCAGTGGACGCCCTGGGGTCTCCGGGCTGGGTTTTTTTGCGGAAGGACTGTTGTGGTCGAGCCCCTATTGCCACCATCGCGGGGTCAGTATAAAAAGGTGAAAGAGCACTGCGTTGACATATGACGTAGATGCTCAAGTGAACATGCAAGAAATCATTGGTGAGCAGCAGGTTGGCGACGACGTTGGTACATCATCTTGCCTGGTTCGGTCAAAAGTCAGAATCGTTCATACTGGGGCGGAAGACCGGGGGCGGGGGGGGCGAGAGTGTGCTGCCAGCGGCGGGTGCCGGCCCCGCCGCCCAGCACCCCCCTCGACGCATGGTCGCCCCCAGCGCCGGGGAGACGCTGGAAGAATTGACTGCGTGCCGCTGTCAGAGGCGACGATCGGGGCAAAGAGCCTAGGGGAGAGCAACACACACACATACACACACTGTTCATCTCCTATGCTTCGAAAGTTCTTTGGTTTTTGTTGGAGGCCAAGATCTTTTCATTTCTAATTGTTCTATCCTGGGCCTCTTCTGGCCACTAGGGGGCCAGGAACAATCAGAAACGAGCACAATTAGAATTGAGCACGATTCGACATGAACGACGTGTATCCAGGGGCGCCCATGATCTACGTCTTCGACAAGGCTCCCCGGCGAATAGTTACGAGTAATGCCCACCCCTGGGCTATTCGCCCTTTATCGTCGCCGCCGAAGCTGAATTGCTGACCCCACCCCTCCTCTACGGTCGGACCGAGGTACGACATCGAGGTCGGTTCGGGGAGGGTGCCCTCATGTTCTTCGTGCTTGTTGGACTTTCTTGTACATCCTGGGGGCGGTTACCCTCGGTGATCTTATGGTCTGGGGTGTTTGGACCGGCGGAAGGCCTCATGCTCTTGAGGGATGTTCTTCTGTCCTAGGTCCGGCCGTGCCCCCACTCTCGTCCGCTCCGACTTCGCTGCCACTCCTCCGGAGCAGAACAGACCCAGCAGCGGCCCGACGGGCCGCGCGGTGCCTCGCAACAAAAGCTGTGGGGTGCCCTCGCTCTCACGCGCGCCCTCGGGTGGGAATCGTGCGCTGGGCCGCCCGCTGAGTCTGTCGGAGTAGACATACGGTCGGACTGGGGTATGCAATCGAGGTCGGTTCGGGGATGGTGCCCTAATGTTCTTCGTGCTTGTTGGATGTTTTTGTGCATCTTGGGGAGTGTACCCTTGGCTGTTCTGTGTGTTTGGGCCGGCGGATGGTCTCATGTTCTTGAAGGATGTGTTTCTGTCCTAGGTCCGACTGTATCGTAGGATATGTGATCTTTGCCCATGTCCGTGAATAGCAGCCTTGAACGGTTTTGCGGGTTCGTTGGCGATTCTTCTCTCGCGTGCAGTGAGAAGCAATCGGGTGCTACTGAGGTAGTGGGGGTGCGGGAACGAGAGCAGCGACGAGTAGGCGTATCGATACCATGTGATTGTCTGCGTTGCGATACTTTCTGCAGTGTGTCGCGAAGTCTAGTCATGGCACTGGGATGTATTGCTGGTGCTTTTGGGACGGCGTGTACACTGGCAGAGAAGGGGAGAAGAGGAAGAAAAGGGAAGCCGCCATCGACGAAGCCAGAGGCTACCGCCACAACACGGCGAGAGGAGGGGGGAAAGAACAGGAAAGGCAGCTCACCGTCTTCAAATTTTGGCTCACGGGATCTGCAGTGCACGCGATGTGTTGGTGTCGCGTGCCCTTGTGATGATGCTGCGAAGGCCCAGTCTGACCACGCGTCCTCCGACGGGCACTGTCATTCGACTCAATGCATGAAAGGGCGATTCGAGATTGAGGGCACGCTTAGAGGTGTTCGAAGGCATTTTGGAGCTCCCAGGATAAGAAGGCCCAAGAGGCCCAGGGGGCCCAATTGAAGGAAGGCGCTGCCGAGGATGCCCCAGGGCAGACCGTAGATAGTACAGCCCATTCAGGGCCAGAGGCCCTCTTCCCAGACAGCCAAGAGGGCCCGGGGGGGAGGAGGCGGGGAGGGGGACAAGGAGGGAGCGGGAAAGATGAGGGGGCTGGCCAGGGTGATGGGAGGGGGTCCTCCGCTTCCTCCTCCTCCTCCTCCTCCTCCTCCTCCTCCTCCTCCTCGTCCTCCTCCTCGTCCTCCTCCTTCTCCTCGTCCTCCTCCTCCTCCTCCTCCTCCTCCGCCTCCGTCTCCGCCTCCTCCTCCTCCTCCTTCTCCTCCTCCCCCTCCTCTTCTTCATACAGCTATTTTCTGGACTCTTGCCGCCATGGCGATCCCCAGCTATGTGGTTGAGGCCATCCGGGCATTGTATCAGGACGTGTGGGTGGAGGTCCATCACCGGGGCGTCTATGGGGTGGGCTTCTTTTGCAAGAGGGGCATCAAACAAGGTTGCCCACTCTCTGGGAGCTTGTTCGCCCTGTGCTCTGACCCAGTCATACGGATGCACGCCGCGCGCCTACCACCATGCATCTCCTCCCTCAGAGCATTTGCGGACGACCTAGGATTGGCATCGTGGGACATCGTGCTCAGCCTGGCCATCTCGCTGCGTATCTGGCAGGTGGTTGGTTCTGCACTGGGCTTGGAACTCAACGCTGCGAAAACTGTCATAGTACTACTCGGCCCTTTCTCGTCCTCCGAGTTCCTGAGCGCCATGGCCGAGGCCGGCTTCCCAGACCTTGCCGTTCAAGTCAGTCGATGTGGGAAGTATCTTGGAGTACACCTTGGGCACGGTTGCCGGTCTGCTACGTGGGCTGAGCCGCTTGTAAAATACCAGGCCGGCAGTCATTTTGTGCGGAGCCTGGGCCTTGGGCTTCAGAAGTCCCTTAGCCATTATATCATGTTCGCTTACAGTACTCTCTCATACGTTGCTCAGCTCACCTCCCCAACCCAGCATGCGCTTCGGATTGAGCGTGAAATGCTGCAGGTTGTGATTTCTGCCCCGCGTTTCGCCCTCCCTTCCCCCTTCCTCTGCTCCCTCCGCTCTCTCGGTCTTCCCCTCCAAGGTAGGTGCCTGGAGCACGCTGGTTGGGCTGCTCTGTTCCGTGCTGCCGAGCATTCTAAAGCGTTCTTCGACATCAAGTCCCTGCTCGAAGATTTTGCCTCCTCCGACGACTGTGTCATTGCATGGGAATTCCAGCCGCTTTGGCGGGAATCGCATTTTCGACATATGCTCGAAAACTGGCATTCCCTCTCTTCTCTGCCGGGCCTCCCTACGTTTCTACGTTTCTCGCTATGCAGCGTCTTGTCGCGCGCCCCGCGGGCGCGGAGCGCTCTGCAGCGGCCCTCCAGGGCCGTGCGGGCACTCAGACAGCGGCCCCGGGAACCCGACCCCGAGGAAAGCAGGGAGCCAGGGACCAAATAATCACAGAGAAGGGAGAAGGGGGGCCGGGTTTCAGCAAAACTAAAAAGATGAGGGCCCGTCTGGGCCCTCAGCGGGCGCCGCGCTCGCCCGTGCCAGCTCAGCCAGCTCGGCGCGCAGCCAGGCCTTCGGCCTCTTTGTGGGCGGTCGGCCTCTTGTGTGGCGGCTGGGCTCCCTTCGGCGCCTCGCGCTGAGCCCAGCCGCCAGGTCCTCAGATGGATGGCCGCCTTCTCTGCGGCGGCCTCCACCCTTCGGCGCTTAGCGCTGTGGAGGCCCGCCGAGCCTCTCTTGGACTCCGGCGGCTCTGCAGCAATCTCCTCGCCTGCCACGCGAGGGCGGTGGGGAGACACCCTTCGGCGCCAGGCGCTGTGTCTCCCTCACCGCGGGGCAGGCTGCCCCTTCTGGTCGAGTACTCCATGGCTTGTAATTCTCCATGGTGACTGACGCTGTATACCTCCAGTACTGCCTGACGTTGCAGAGCTGCACCATGTAGAGCTTGCGCTTGTAGGGCTCCATGTAGAGCTGCGGTGCTGCCGTCGTCAGTCATGACCCCCCTGCTTTTGAGGTGCAGGGGGGTGCTGATCACGGATGTTGTAGATGTCGATGTATGGGGGCTGAGTGCAAGATGTGGAGCGAGTTGGACGGTCGTTGGGGGTCGGTTCGTTGCTGGTGTTGTGTTGGTTGTGGGCTACCAAGGCCTCCATGCACCGACTTCAAGTGGGGGTCGTTGCTGTCCCACCTCGTCCCGCTATGGCTAGGGGTCACGGTGCCCTCGGTGGGGGCGAACCCCAGGCCTGGTACTTGTTATCGTCGGAGTGGGGTGTCTCGGCTGTCCAGCTTCGCCCTCGGGCGATCGGGTAGCTCCTCCTTCTCCATGGGAATGGTGGGGGTGGCGAGCTAGGGCGGACCGCGGGGGCGCAGGTAGTGGCCGTCCTACCCCCCCCCTGCCCCTCACCATCCCCGCTGGCGGGCGCGGGAAGTACTCGTCCTTCCCCCCCAGCCCTTCGAGCCCGTCTCGAAGTTTGATCCTCACCAGGACAGCGTTGACTTGGCAGGAGTTGTGTGTGGGGTCGTGCTGGGTATGCTGTCGATGTCGGTCGGTGGTACGCTGGCGGCCAATGGGCCGCCCGCTGCCAGCCAGCTGGCGCCATCCAAATTGTAGATATCCAGTCGCCGCCGGGGTACACAACAAAACGTGGCGACTTGTGCCTGGGGTGTTCCCTCGCATTCGGGGCTTCCCCAGGACTTGCGTTCTAACCATAGCAAAACTTGGCGACGCTGCCTGAGGTCTTCCCACGCATTCGGGGCTTCCTCAGGACTTAAGCAGCACTCCGTAATGCCTTGTCCAGGGCGCAAGATAATCATAGAAATATATGCCAAAGGAAAGTCGCTAAATCCAGAAAGTGCTCGAGGGGGGGGCACGCTCCGTCGCCATTGAGGGATCGTGCCCACCCGTATGGGCGCTACGGGTCCCCCCCCCTCGAGTGTGGCACGCAATCGTTGTCCAGGTCGCAGCCGTGCCAGTAACCCAGTAGCAACGGGGTATTGGGCCATGCAGTAGGTGCGCTGATGCTGACACGTCTGCTGCCAATCTGAAATACTCTGTATACAATATTGTAACGCCAGCTGCCCTCAAATCTGTAGCAGGCCGGTGGTCTGCGCCAAACTGCAGACCAATGTTCCCTTCAGGGGCTGAAGTATATAATACTGAACGCTTGACTCGACTAACTGCACCAAATAATGTAGTGCCGCTGCAGTGCCAGCTGCTAGCGCCGATGGTTGCCCCATGCCCTGTGACAGTCATGGCCGAGCTGCTCTGGCTCAATGTAGTAATCCAAGGGGGCGTAGAACCTGTGGTAGCATTCATCCGTTTCGGCCCACATTGCCTCTTCGTCAGCAAGCTGCCCCCAGTGGGCTGCGAAAGCGGTAGCCATTGCCTTGCACAGCCTTGATGGATACTCTTTGAGGGGGGCGGTCCTCCAGCCGCCTTGGCCGTCTCGTCCGTAAGCTCTGGCATGTCCCGTATGTCGGCATAGCTGTCCCCCAGGTACCGCCCTTAGCTCCTGTGCGAGTTCACCGAGGTGTGCCGCCATCAGACATGTTGGTTTTCTCGCAGCCTGCCCAAACTGGCACTGGTCTATGTAGTGAAGTTCGACGCCCGTCTGCTCCAGGAGCCAGAGTGTCTCTGCTCGCTGCCAGCTGCTAGGCGCTTGAGGGCACCAGGTGGCTGGGGCGGGATGCTCGAGTACGGCTGAAACGTTGTACTGCAGGCCCGTGGTGATGAGTAGTAAAGCTGTCCTGTATAGCTCGTTGGCTAGCGCGATCTGTTGATGCTCCGCTTGACTAGCTGCTTGTATGCCCCAGGGGGATTCATGTGTGCGTAGTGGTCGTGGTGCATTCCCCTCGGCGGCATGCCAGCGCGATGAGCACCACGTCTCGCAGGGCGGGCCCGCCACAATACCAAATATTTTGCCCTGTCGTATCGCTGCGCACCAAAACTCGACGACGTCTGGCTTCGTCAGGTCTCCTTTGTCGGGGTCTATCTGCACGTCGATCGATAGTACTACCAAGTTACATTCCCGAATGTTCATCTCGAAATGGTACTGGAAATCCTCGATTCGACGTCTGCCCGAGAAAAGGTGCAGCAAGAACATAGCCGTAGTAACCATGGGCCTGCACGGTGAGAATACGTTTGCAGGTGGTGTCGCTGTTTGGACGTCCGCTGCTGCAGGCGGGGCCGGCGAGAGTTGGAGCTGATGCTGCTCTGTGTAGTCGGCGCCGGGCCTCCCTCCTCCTTCCTCCCACCGTCAGAAGAAGGTTGAGGCCTTTTTGATAGATTCTTCCAGCTACTCGTGCAACACAGTGCTTGTGCGACGTGCTCGGAAGTTTGACCCTGACCTCACTCAGGATCAGGAGATGTCCCTGACCACGGTAATCGCCGAGCTTTCTCCCTTCCTCCCTCTGTGTGTCCTCTCCTCCTTCCTTCGCACGTTGTACAATGCGTGGTGCACGACTGGTCGGTTCAGGATTGCACAGCGCTGCCGCGCCTGCAATGCCCCCCGGGGCGATTGTCTGAGGCACATTGTTGTTTGCCCCACCTTTGAACCTCTTCTTCTCCTTTTGCCCCTTCTCCCTAACTTCTTCCAGTACGGTGGATGGCAAGATCGCTTGTGTGTTTGGCGTCATTTTCCCATGCCTCACGAGACGCTGGCCTCCGTTGTTCTAGCCCTCGACATATACAGCAAAGCCTACCATGATTCAAAACACTCTTCTATAACTTCGGCCCGGTTGCGGAAGCATGCCAAGGCTCGTTTGCAGCAGTTGGAACGGAGAGATGACTCTACCCGTAACTTGTATGGTAGAAGTACGGGGTCGTGAGTCCCCGCTGCGTTGTGGCTCGCCTCGCTGTCCGATGGTGGGATAGCCCTCTAGAAGGGCAGCGGATTATCTTTCCTCCATTGTTGCTGTCTCTCGCTCTTCTCTGCTTGGATCGTCCTGCTTCCCTTGTCCGCCCTTCCCTTGCTGGCCAGTGTCGCTCCTCCTCCTCCTCCTCCTCCTCCTCCTCCTCCTCCTCCTCCATCCCACTGCTCCTCATCCTGCTCCCATGGGACCTGACCTTGACACCGCACAGACATGCGTGCTGTCTCCAGCCCCCGCCCCCGCGCGTGGCACCAGAAAGGTCGTTAGGGGAAGCGTCTTTGGATTTGTTTTCGCCCCGCCCGCAGCAGATAGCAGACGCCAAATCGGAATTGTGCCTATGGACAGCTCTTGTTCATCTCAATAACTAGTGCCCATCGCCTCTCGACAATCAGGCGATCGCAAACGTGGATTAAGGGGGCGTGGATTAGCGACGGGTCCCGCTTCCACGGGAAATCGCGGATCTCCGCCGCCGAGCGAGGCGGCACCTGCCGCATCCTGGGGAGGGCACCTCCCCCGATCCATGGGTTCGGCGACCGCGCGCCATATCCATGGATCGCCAATCCGTGCTTGCGCGCCCCCGCGACAAGGCGCTTACAAGAAGCTGTCCCAGGGGGCGGTCGCGCAGGGACGTTCGAGTCTAGCTGTTCCGCAGCGCGCGCCGCCGCAGGCTCGCGCACCGGCTCTGCGCCAAAGGGCCCGGGGCCGCCCCTCGGGGGCCTGCTCGCGCGTGCGCCGCGGCGGGCCGGGTTTCTTTTCGTGTGCACGGGCCCATCCAGGAGGAGGAGGAGGAGGAGGAGGAGGAGGAGGAGGAGGAGGAGGAGGAGGAGGAGGAGGAGGAGGAGGAGGAGGAGGGGGGGGAAGGAGGAGGAGGAGGAGGAGGAGGAGGAGGAGGAGGAGGAGGAGGAGGAGGAGGAGGAGGAGGAGGAGGAGGAGAGGAGGAGGGAGGAGGAGGAGGAGGAGGAGGAGGAGGAGGAGGAGGAGGAGGAGGAGGAGGAGCCTCCTCTTTCTCTTGTGCCTCGTGGTCATCATCAGCAGCATCATCACCAGGATCTCCCGCCTCGTCATCCCGCCCCTCCCCAAAACCCCGTCTCGCCCTCTTGGGCGAGAAAGGTGTCGAGTGCCGCGTGCACTTCACAGCAGCTGATGCTTGCGTATCCGTCGAAGGATTTCGGTCGCATTCCGTGGGAGCGCTACGTTCCGCACGAGGGGTCGTTACGTGTTCTGATTCGCGACGCTGTACGCCCTGCACACATGCGACACTGCATGCATGCGTGGCACGAATTCAGTGACTATGATCGCG